TTCCACTCTTTCTTTCTCATTGTGTGACTAACCGTTAAAAATTTGATTACTTGCGTCACACATTTCATAAAAGTCTCATTTACTTGTTCCGACTCTGGGAAAAGCTCGACCCGCTGGCTATTCACCAGAATGCCGACATGACATGAATCAAATCCATACATCTTGATTTGGGTGACAGTCACAGCCTTTGAGATTTGAAAAGCTCAGTGGTTTCTTTTGCCTTTTGTGGAAGCAAAATTAAACAACTGTTGTTGACCTTCATTATATGGGAACACACAGCCAGTGTACTGCGGCCGTACCCTGGGGACACACCATCCTGACCAGCCTCCCCAGAGAGAGCGCCAGGAATCCCTGTAATCCCACAACACACACACCTCACCTACATTTTACATGCAAACAAATGTGTATCAATTACCACTGCTCAATACAATTATTCCATTTCAGTGTGCTTCCATTTAAACCTATTAGAGTGACACAGGTTGTCATAAAGTCAGACTACAGAAGTACAAAAACAAACACTGCAATGCAGATCTGTTTAATTGTTATTGATCGTTTATTGATTTTGTATTAAACAACATGCATTAAATATAGAATTATGTTTAGCAACCTCTAAATAATTTTTGTTAGTGTTATTTTAACTATTTTACATTAAATACATGAAACAACCAAATTAATGAAAACTCTTCATCATTTTTTTTTTTTTGTCAAGTGAAAACGCACCATTTCCGCAATTTTTTTGGAATAGCATGCTCTCAAGATGAGAGATGGATTTTTTTTTTTTTTAAGAAAATTAAAACACCAAAATGAGTGTTTATAACACTTTAATTACATATGTAAGTACTGTGTAATAACTAATGAACAAACTGTTTCAAATAGAATGTTCAGCAACTTCTAAATATTTTTTGTGAGTATTATTTTAATTTTGATTCGTTACATTTACATTACACGAAACAACAAAATTACTGAAAACGTTTCACAAATTCAGCAAGCATTTCTTTTAATGTCAACTTTTTTGTTGTATTGTACATAGGATCATTGTTTTAAAGAAAATTCACAAATGTAAGTACTGTGTAATAACTAATAAACAGCATGTATTCATATATAATTATGATCAGCAACTTCTAAATAGGTTTTGTTAGTGTTATTATACAATTCTATTAATTTCACTTACATTACAATACTACTAAAACTACTGTTTTAATTATTCAACTACCGTCAAAATATTTTTTAATTCAGTAAAAAAAGCTAGATCCCAGCAAACCAACCTTTTTGGAGTATCATGCACTCAGATGAGAGATGCATGGTAATTGTTTTAAATAAAATTCTAACTTTAAATGTTTATTACACAGTAATTACATATGTAAGTGCATAATACCTAACGGACAAAACAAAAAGTAAATATTTTGTTGTAAATATAAATACTCTCTGTTAGTTTTATTTTAAATGTAATCTTTTTTTATATACACTACGTGTAACATTAATGTAAAATTCCAAGAACTCTAAAGGGATTCAATTCAAAGTCAAATGAAAAAAAAAGCTACATCCCAGCATTCCACTTTTGGAGTGTGCAGCTCTCAGATTCTAATCCAACATTCTCTGAATAAAGGTATTGTTGTTCAATTAACTGCTTATATGATTTTCCCTCTAATCCTATTTCTCTCTATCCTCTGTTCATGAGGGACGGTCTGCAGTGCTGGACAGCCTGTATTCCGGTGGCGCTCTCTGATATGCAGCGTTTGGCTGTGACAGGCAAGCTCAGATCAGGTCTTAACACTGCTTTGTGTTCGGCTGAAGCAGAGCTGCTCTATTATATCAACAGCAGTGCCTTCCCAGCATTCACAGCAGAGCGCTGAACGCAGGCCAAACAGGGTAACAGTCCGTAAGTTCAGAAATATCTCCCAAAGTTTCGGTTTTATTCAGATTTTGAAAGTTTTAAGTTTGACAAAAGCACGTTTATGTAATATTGATCACAAATGTCTATGGGTAGCATGTATACAGTATATATAATGTGTAAAATATTGCTAAAAACATACACTTTTTTTTTTTTTACAGAGAATTTACTAGAAATACCATTTCCTTGATAATAAACGTTAATAGTTTTAGGGTCTTTGTTTTAACAGCTATCTGCCATAAACTGTGAAATGGTAATGGGAAGTCAAGCAGATGTCAGAGAAGAGGCGCATATGTTTCTGACATCCATCCACAAGCATCAACGACACATTGATATTAAGCCGAATGGACATATGTTCGCATCCCAACAAGTGGGACATGAAGCCAGACAGCTAATTTAGCGGTTTCAGTTCAACAGGGCTCAAAAGAACGGGCAGGGTAAGTTGAAAACAAAAGTGGCTGAAAAATAAAGCCAGTTCCTGGGAGTTTAGGCCAGAAGAGTAGTATGCCAGAGCAGGAAGACACGGATGGACACACAGCATTAACCACCCTCCCCTGGCCTGACTGCTTTTGTGAGCGGCACGGCCAAGAGGAAATGATGTGTGCTTGCAAAGCAGGCATTATTAATGAAGACAGTGCTTGAAATATTAACAGTTGTAGGCTGTATACTGACTAGGGACCATTTAAGGCCTAAAAAAAATTTTTAAAAAAATTAATTAAAAAAAACATGCTATGAGTATGATTTTTGTTGCTATATCTTGAAATATCTCGCATGTAAAGTCCAAATAAAAACAGCCGAAACTTAAATGGAAAAACATTATTTTTCTCTTTCTTGTAAAATGGATGAACATGATATTTAGGAAAGTGTTTGATTTCACTAGCTTTAAAAGAATTAATATGTTTTCTGAAGCTTGGTAATAAAGTCTTCATGTCAAAACAACCGTTTTGAAGTTGCCTTACAACATAAACGTAATTCCTGTGATCAAAGTGACTGAATTACACAATTAAGATGATCAGAAACCTCAATGAGATTAGGCTTAAAATAAAATGACAAACAAAAGTAAACAGAGAGGAGCTTAATATTACATTACAGCAAAGGGCTCAATTTATATTGCGAATTATATGTTGAAAGTGAATGTGACATAAAACATTGCAATTATGTTTTGATTCGTGTCAATTTGCTCGCCATTTGACTGTTCTAATCATCAATCACTTTAATACTAATAAAACATAATCAGATTGTTTACAATGCTTCATGTTTTTTTTTTTTACTGACCTTATTCCAGGCATTATTTCATTTTAAATAAATCACAATTGTTAACTGCATCTCAAACACAATGTACTCAAAACTACACTCAGATATTAAATTTCACGTAGAGTGGGTGTCTCGGACCACCCAGCCGCTTGGAGCTGGATTTTTTTCCACTTGTGAGCTTACGGCCACATGTGCTCTTAGCCTGACTTAATGTCTACCTTTAAAACCAGGCATCCAAACAGAGCGCGATGATGCTTTATAGACCGCAACACTCGCAAAAACATAAAAGACGGTGCATTTACTGTCCGCCAGGCTTACCATCACTGTACTACATTAATATCTCTTCCCTTTTCAGAGATGTTGCTTCCTTGCACAGCCGACAACTTGCTCTTTTGTTGCGTTCACTCACTTAGAGTGCATGTAATGGCAGAAATGGATAATGAAGAGGCAGGGGAGGCGAAAACACACATGCACAAAAGGAGATCTCAGAAAAGGAACCCCGCCATGCGCAACTCTGCCGCGCGGAGCCGTGGGGCAGGAGGCAGCATCTTTAGGGTGTACCCAAGCAGCACTAAACTCCAGTGTCCGTGGTCAATCAAGGCCATTTTTTACAGCCGCTGGGGTCCGGCATCCCTGCCTTTACACTACAGTGGAAACCCTTTGTACTAATTGCTAGATTGTACCTGATTTTCTAGTTCAGTTCCAGCCTATAATTGACTGACAATGATGGGAATGGGGTGGGGGATTTCAGACTTGAGCGCACGGCGAAGGAGATCAGACGTTAGGGCAAGCAGGTAGCGAAGACAAAGAGAGAGGGCAGTAGTGGGGTAGGAAAGGGGGTGGTCAGTGCTCTCATGCTTGTCATGACTGCAAACCCGAAAGTTCTTTGACCCTTGCAATAATTTATTCTTCCAGTGTGACCAACAAATCCATCACAGCAATTCAGATCTTCTCTACAACAACTATGAAGTTTTGTTGCTCAACAGGTTGAGCAAGGTGCTAAAATAATTAGTTTAATTCCCCTGGAATGCATATACTGATAAAATGGAGCCATGGAGACTTGAATCTTTTTGGATAAAAGAATCTTGCAAATGCGTAAGTGTACCGACATGCGTATCAAATGCAATAATTCAAACCCTTCAAATCCCCAAAACTTCAAACTCGAATGAAAACACACTGTTGCATTCAAAAACATTAGTCGTTTCTACCCAATTCACCTAATCAAATGAAGCCAAACAATAAAAAATATTCACCATGAGTTGCGTCACAAAGGTCAGTGTGCAAAATTGCAGCATCTGTAGCATAACTCAAGATAACACATCCCTAAAGCCAACACAGCACGCCCCCATCAGGCGACTTTCTCTTGTGTTGCATTCATTAAGCCTTAAGGCACGATGGAAAGCACACAAGAGCCAGCCAAGAGCAACAAAGTACATATGTATCATTCCTTTTAATTAACGCATGGGAGAAGTAATATGCCTTAGTCTGCGACCTGAGGCACCTGCAAATCAAGGAGGGATAAAGGTACCAGCATGGATCTGTGTGTTTACAGGTGTTCACACCTCGCACACCACCGCAGATTCACAGAGACTCTCTAAGAGCCATTAGCAAAGGTCACGCGTTCCTAATGCCGACTAGACTCGCCGCATCTCAGGTTATATGCGATCTGTCTCCAAATCAAAACAACCAGCATGCTCCTTTTGGCAGCTTTTCACACGCCACCCCACATGCACCGGCTGGCACACACACAGCTCATAAATATACGCGATCCCACCTGAGCACAATTTTCTGAACAAGGTCAAACATATGCCATAAGATAAAAAGGACTGACATGAATTTCTTAGAGTCAGCTTACCTTGACTTTTAGCGTTCCCCTGCCTGCCTTTTCCAGCAGGCCCAAGACCCATAGATATCCAGAGTTCCACCTGCTCGCAGAGGAGAGCCTAGCCGAGACCCAGCGTGTCTTCTCTCTGACTGTGTCTGTCTCTGTGTAAGGGGAGCTAGGAATTCACTGGCTATAGACTTTTGTCCAAGCTGTAGGTCTTTTTTAGTGAAGCAAGATTAGTTCATACAAAACTCAACAATACAGCACTGAAACCCATTGTTGATATTCAACATTTTTCACATAGCGGAACAGAATAGACAATACGGTAGCTAGGAAACCACGGGCTGGATCACAAGCTGATGATATCTCACGCTTTTCCGTGACCTGTAATCCTGTTCATTCAGCTTGCGGGCGATGCTAGATGTAAACCAAAATCAATATCAGTGGAAGTGGATGAGAAGTGTGTTGTGGGGAGGTGGAGGATAGGTTTGCCGGGTGCAGGATGTTTTCACATTGTAGCAGACTACACAATAAACATCCTTTATTCAGCAAGGTCTTCTTTGAAGGGAGGGATTCAAATAGACACCACAAATCCACGGCTCTGCAACTAACTCCTGAATAGATGTCTGAAAGTTCAATGGTTCCCTCAGAACTCCTTTTGCAATCCAACTGTAAAATAAGCAGCTGAACAATCTATAGCCTACTTCAGCATGAATGTACAGTTTCGAACATCCCCAAGAGACTATTCAAAATAAAAACCGCAGGAGTCTAATTGCAATTCAGAAATGTCAAGTAAAGAATGTTGTAAGCTGTGAAATTAACAAACAAGACATTTAAGGTCAAAGGTGGTCGACTAAAATACAGTTAGCAAAAACGATCCCCTTGGTTTAAATGTTTCAACAATTTAATCAACAATATCGGTAACTTTTTAAAGTCTTACCAGGTCTGTACCTGTGATCCTATTCCACTCTCTTAACCCATCCAGCTTCCATATTTTCCCCCACACTCCGAGTCCTCTAGGTAGCCAAAGAGGGGGAATTGTTCAAGCCCTTCCTTTTCATCACTTCAGCAATTGACCAATTGACAACTGATTGATGGTTATCCTTTCATACCTACAAAGGCTGAAATTACCATCACTAAAGCGACGTACTGTAAAAGCCTCAAGAGTAAATTACATGTTGCTAAAATTCCCCTTCACTCAGTCCTGTACAATAGCAAGCAAACAAAAAAAAGTTTCCTTTTTGCCAGTTCTGTGGCACTGTAGATTTGGCCTTCCCTGCCAAGTGCAGAAAGAACTTGACAGCTTCTTTAAATGGTGAATCCAAAAAGAAAACCCTTTTCAAGGCCTTTCAATCGCAGCAGATGGGACCCAACCAAGAAGGCATCAACTTTGGGAAAGAGTAGTCTATTCACGAACGGCAGTGTAAGGGGGATTCTATACTCGCCGTCCAACATTTAAGCGCATTACTGAAACAGAGGAGCTAATGTGGCCAACATATTTAAAGCCTTTCAAAGTGACCTACACGTCCTGACGGACAGCAGAACAGACTTTGGCTCAAAGAGAAGACTTTCTCAAGTCTTGGAGAACTGTCCCGTCCCTTCTACCTCCCTTCAAAACCACGGAAAGCTACATTGCAAATGTCGGCGATAACAAAATGCACTTTGGCATTATCCTGGAGGGTACAAAATACTGTGAATATCTAGGAAAGAAAATGCATCAGGATTTTATTACAATTTTATCATTATTCTTACAATGTAGATATCCAATTCAAACCACTCGCCAAAATTTCACATATGAACTTAAAAGAGTTGACAAAAGGCAAAAACACTGAACGTGATTAAACATGATGATATTCAGATTAGATAATGTGCTCTTCCTCCAAAACATCTTTGATTTATTTTATCTTTTGCGCCGGAGGATGAGATGTTTTTCCCTATGTTTTATTAATGGATCTCAGTGGGGAACACTCAAATGGATATCAACAACTGGATAAGAGCAGAGGAGACGACAGCGGTGTTGACACAAACCCCATGCTGGCTCCCACCTCTCGTGTGCCAATCTGTGCACTTTAATTGTTCATTCGCTCAGTGAATACATAAATAGGTCTCAGGATCTGGTCATGGTAATGAAGCTATTTTAGACTCAAATTGCTGCTTCACATTTCCATGGAAATCTTCAACCATCTTCTTTTTTTTTTTTCATGTGCACTCTAGTTTATCTGAAAACACATATTTATATTATTGCAACGGGTGGGAAATCACATTATGATTTAATGTGGTTTAATGCAGTAAAGGGAGAATCATGAAACATGACTCTGATGTCAAGGCTGTACTGATTCAAAAGCAATTTTTGTACATATGGTCCGGCTCAAGGCCGCGAATCAACAGATGAATCGGAGGTCAAGCCCGTTTCAGTCCCTGACCTGGGGTCAGATATAAGCCCGTCCGCAAACACAACGATACAATCTCCTCCATCTCTTCATATCCGCTAAATACAGCTAAACTAAACCTTCATGACCATGACCACAAAAATCTGAACTATAAGGGCATTCGGTTTCAGTAAAAAATTAATTTGCTACCATTTAACCTCAATTCATTGGGTCATGGAAAATGATCATAAATGTATAAAGAAAAATAATGAATGTATTTCCTGCCTTACCAACAACCTGTTTTTAACAGTGATGACATTTCACTTCCCACATATTAATAGTTATATCACTTATTTTAAAACAGATAGTTCCAGTCCTGGAAGCCCACTGATTTCTGTGTAGGGCTGGGTGGAGTTATACATCCTGCAAACATTTAAAACACTTTGAAAAAAATATTGTTTATAATATAAACTACTGTCCTCTTAAACTTTTTTATGTATTTGAAAGATGTCTATAATACTTACTGAGACAGTATTTATTTGAGTAAAAACAGTAATACTGAAGTATTATTACAATTTAAAATAATGTTTTCTTTGTCAATATATTGTAAATTGTAACTGATTGCTGTGATCAAAGCTGAATTTTCAGCATAATTACTCCAGTCTTCAGTGTCACATGATCCTTCAGAAATCATTCTAATATGCCGATTTGCTGCTCAAGAAACATTTCTTATTATCAATGCTGAAAACAGTTTTTCTGCTTAATATTTTGTGGAATCAGTGATGCATTTTATTTTTATTTGATAGATAGAAAGTCCAAAAGAACAGCTTTAGATAGAAATAGAAATATTTTGTAACAATGTAGAAGACATTACTGTCACTTTTAATCAACTTAATACATTCCTGCTAAACAAAAGTATTAATTTGTTTAGAAAAATCATACTGGCCCCAATTTTTTTGAACAGTACTGTATATGATAATAATCATCTATAAATTATAAAATCATTTATAAATTTAAATGCATGCCACACCGAACAAATGCCACAATACACCTTATGCACTGTATAACATTGCTTCTTATACATAGATTACTTTTTGTGTTCCTGTAGATCTGTAGGTGTAGGAAACTGTTATGACAAGTTTATGGGTTTGAATCCCAGGGAACAAATATGCTGTTGTATGACACAAATGCACTGTAGGTTGCTTTGGATCTGTCAAATGCATACATGCAAATGTTTATGTTCCTGTAAACCTGTAAATCTAGAACATTGTGATAGTAATGACAAGATTATGGGGTTGAATCCCAGGGAACACAAATTTGTCAAATGTAGCATTTAAATGCACTAGTTGCTTTGGACCTGTCAAATTCACTCATGGACATTTTTCTGTTCCTATAGACTTGTAGGTCTTGAATAATGTGATAGCAATCGTAAGGTTATGGGTTTGAATCCCAGAAAACACACATTTGTAAAATGTATAGTTTAAATGCACTGTAAGTTTCTTTGGACCTGTCAAATTCACACATGCACATTTTTATGTTCCTATAGACTTGTAGGTCTTGAATATTTTGATAGAAATCACAAGGTTATGGGTTTGAATCCCAGGGAACACACATTTGTAAAATGTAGAATTTAAATGCCCTAGTTGCTTTGGACCTGTCAAATTCACACATTCACATTTTATGTTCCTGTAGACTTGTAGGTCTTGGATATTTTGATAGTAATCATAAGGTTATGGGTTTGAATCCCAGGGAACACACCTTTGTAAAATGTAGAATTTAAAATCTCTAGTGGCTTTGGATCTGTCAAATTCACACATATTCATTTTTACATAGCAACATTACCACTTTTATAAACTTGTAATTATTTTCTAGTAGTTAACTGCCCCTACATTAACATTACTTTAAAGTTACCTACCCCAAATCAACACTACTTTGGTTACTATGTTCTCTAATATGCTTAGAAATTAAAATATGTGAAAATGCTCAATGACATGATGAATGACAGGTTAGGCCTCTGTAGGTAGTGTGTGGGAACTCCACGGGTCCGGGACAGGGGGATGTGATTATCTGTGTGTGAACGAGGGCCTGCTGCTCCAGAGGAAAGCTCCTTACAGTTGAGAGGCACACTTTGACACCTCCTTTAAGCCTCTAGTCCAAACAAGCCGCTCGACAAGGTGAGGCAGGAGTTCTGCTTTTGTTTCACTCAGCGGGAATCTGAACATCATTCATCACTTACGTCAAGACTTCCAGCACAAAAACATTGAGTGATTAGCATGTCAAGATCATTATCTTTGATAATATGGTGTGGTCGGGCAGCCGGTAGGTGTTCTGGCTAATCAATTAATCAAAACTTTATCTAAACACATGACAATTATAATGTTTGTAGTCGTGGAAATAATTACCAATGCTGAATTATGATACAGGTTAATCATTTCAGCTGACTAACATGTGCTCTACCGCAAGTGACAAATTGAAGCAATAAATTAAATTGCCATTAAAAATTTGAATTTGTAAACAGTAAGGTGGTGATTTTTCGGTAACACTTTACTTAAAGCCTTTATGTATAATTGCATTATAAAAGTAGTTTTAATGCATTAATTATGCCTTGTAATGCACCTTATAATGCACTGTACAATCTCATGAGTAATTGTAACCACAGTTAATACATTATAACACTTATCAATTCATTGTTACACAATGCATGTTAAATCCAGTCATAATTATGACAAGATATAATGTATTACAATGCACAATATGAATAAGTATAATACATTATAGCCTTTAATAACCCTTTATAATGCATTAT